ATAGAGGGCAAATATTTTTTGCAAGTTGATAGGATCGAGTGCTGCAGACCCAAAAGATGATTGCTTCTCTGGGTGAACTAGACCAATATTTGCCATGAAAAAAATGGTTGGGGAACTAGATTCGAGAGAATTCACAAGCACTTGATGGTTAATCTTCCCCAGTGTAGATTTTCTCTGCACCCCCCCCCCCCCCATAAAGACAAGAGGGTTGAGTACATCTTTGTCTGTTTTCTTCCTAAGCTTGTTGGTTTGAGAAACATCGCCCCTCCCCAAATTCACCCTTCCAGGTATATGATTTAATGAAAGGCACAATAAGAAGTGAGACAATTAGAATTTCTGCCTCATTATCATGGTAATCTTATCAGTGGGATAATGAGGTATTAATGGAGATTTAATGTGCCTCTCATAACACAATCCCTTGGAGAAAACTCATAAGGAAATTGCCGTAAATCCACTTAATGATAGAAAGGTCCCCCAACGCCATCTTCCAGGGGATGAAAAATGCGGGCAGTCGGCGATCAAGATTCAAGGTCATCTGGCAAGGAAGACCACATGGCAAGGGGAGCTCGGGCCCCGACGTTTTGCAAAAGGGCTTCCTGGTGGCCGGGAACGGTGTTCCCACACCCAGCCAAGGCAAAAGCCGCACAAAGCCCCATAGGGCTGTGTGAACCAGACCACTAGCATGCCACAGCAGGAACGTTAGGCGTAGGTCTTTTTCACGGGCGTGGGAAAAACTGCCGGGCTGAGCAGACCGAAGTCTGTTTATGGAGTTCAGCACACGCTCTGTTCCCAGGAGCCAAACGGTTGCCTCCCGCTTATCCCCTCTCATCCGGCTGTTGGCAGGTAGAGTGCTCTTAAATATGGCAGGTCTGCCGATTAGAGTAGCCTCCATGTCTGGGTTGAGCTCTGTCTTTTAGAAAGACCGCAAGTAAGTTTGTACGCAACCCCCCCCCCGCCCCCCCGCTGTTCTTTGCTTCAGAACTAGATCCAAGGAGACGCCTAGGGTGGGCTTTCTAGCTGATCTGATTTAGCCAGCTTTCTCAAGCAGCTTCCTCTTGCTTGCCAATATTTATTTATTTATTTAATTTATTTATATATCACATTGCTATAGCTGCTGGTCGGTCTCACGCAAGATCTTAGTCTGCGAGGCCATTTGTCTACCATCAACCCTCAAGGCAGACGTCCAAGACGTCGGAGGAAAGCTGATTTTAAAGGACGCAAATGTGCCATACTTTGGCTTCCCTACATGATAAATATTTCAAATCCACACCCGAAGTTAGGGTTCGTTTTCTAAGACGATGTCAGACCAAGTCTTCATTTCCAGTTCAAGCGCGTTTAGTGCCAAGAACGCCCAAGATCAGGAAGCCGGTCCATAATCAGTCTCTTTTTCCTTGCAGAAATTTAGCGAGCAAGTTTTCATCGTGCAGGAGCTTAGCGCGTGTTTTTTTCCCCTCCCGTATGTTTAACAAGCTTTTTTTCCTCTTTGCAAAAAATTTCAGTGACTCCCCCCCCCCCCTTTGCAGAACAACACCAAGAAAATACAGGAGTTTAGCAAATGGCATTGCAGAAAGTTCAGGTACCTTTCCTTTCCCTTCCTGGTGGAAAGTTAGCCCGTTGTTTTATCCATGCAGGAATGCACCAAGCTGGAGTATTTTATTTTGTGGAGCATTAGCTAGTGAAGTTTTTTTCCCTCCCACGAAGGGAATGAGAAAAGTGCTTAGCCGTGCAAAGAGGAGTTCAGTTAAATGATGAGGAAAGTTTCAGCTAATCAATTTTAGCCTATCCAGTTTCTCTTAAGAGACCCTGGAGACAAGCCTGGTAGGTGGGGGGGTGTCTGTGTGTGTGTATTTCTTTTATAGCAACCTTGGTCTTCAACAGGCACCAGTCGTTCACCATGTCCTTGTTTGAACTTTTTCTATTACCTCCTGCCCGTGTTTTCATTTGATTCCCTGCTGTTGCCAAGCTCGGGAAAAATGCAGGCCACTGGGATACAGTTTCAGAGGAGGGTGTCCTTGCAATAAATCCCTTCTAATATGGACTCCTTTAGATATAAAAAGTCATGGAACTAAACCAAGGGTCGTAAATTAAGAGCAGAAACTACACAGGATGTAGTAAGAGCCTAAGGCCACTAGGGGTCGCTCTAGGAACACCATAGGCTTTCCTCGATTAAGCAATTTCACTTTAAATCGAAAGTCACCCAGGACGGCTGAGCTTTTGGCACGTCTGCATCGCTGCAGGCCTCAACTTGCAATGCTTTACCTGTTGTAAAATTTAAAGGGACTTCTCTCTAAGCAGGCGTGATGGATTTACGCATCTTTACTTTCTCTGCCCCTTTTTCAGCCTTTACAAAGCCTCCACGGGTCCAGGTGTGGAAACTGCTTTTATCCTCCTCCTCTCCATTCTCACCTTGCTTTTTTGTCCTGTCTTTCAGGGTCGTAACGTGGTCCCTCAGCTAACTCGCATTTGATCCTGGCTTGCCAAGGCATTTTTGGCCGAAGAGCACAGGAAAAAAAGCTTTGAGTACGTATATTTTCAGTTGTGAAGGTTCTACACGATACGCCAGATGACCTGCGGGCAACCAGAAGCGGACATCAAGGAAGCCGCTACTTTTCGGGGGAAAAATGACTGCAAACCCATGGCTGGCTGTAGTCTAAACTATATAGCAGTTGCAAAAGATTGCTCCGAGCGTTTCTCTCTCTGTTTTATACAAAACCAGGGCCGAAAATTTATCCAACTTCCAAGTGAAATGGAGATTCAGAGCCTGCATGGATGCTGCATGCCACCAGCAACTCTGCAACTGTGCAAAGATGCAATTTCTTTAAGGAATTATTCACAGATGCTTCATGCAGACCCAGGCAGGTTCTGGATCCAGTAGAAATCTCTACGTTCCCACCAGAAGCCTGTCTGAGCGGGATCACGCCAAGGAAACCAGTGGCTTGTGTCTTATTAAATCGTTGTTTTATTAATCAAAAAGGAGTACTGGATAGTCGAAATAAAACCTACATATCCTCAGAAGCACCAGATCACTAAGGCTTCACCCAAACACCTGGTGTATGTTTTTAATATGAATAATCAAAATATATATTACAGTTTCTGGTTTCATAGGGAAAAAAATTCATTTGGGATTTGTACAGTATACACAGTATTTCAGAAGGAAAAACAAAGGTATCAAGACTTTTTTTTTTTTTTATATTAGCACTTCTTTTCAAACAATCCCTTTTGTTTCTAACCTCCTCCCTTGTGCAACAGATACTAAATGCCCTGTCGAATTTTGTTTTGAAAAACAAAGATGTTAAACAAATGAGAGCAAAAAGCAACAACAAAAAAACCCTTGGGTAACTTCCAGTTTTAGTAACTTTTCACATTTTTAATAAATATGCAGGCTTTGGCCTTCCTCCCCCCCCCTCCAAAAACTTAGCTTTAAATTCAGTAGACGGTCATAGCATTTATCCAGAAAATGTGTCCAATGCCAACTGCTGGAGAAGCGGCGTTTGCAAGATCATCAATGGCAACGTTTCATTTACACTATTTGTTCATGATTAAAAAGTTTCCCCTTTGGTGTCTGCCTCCTGCAAACTTTTCTGCGCAGCTGGTGTCTTCCTCTCACCGCTCCCCCAAGAGTATTAGTGTAAATAAAGATGGTTGGGAAACATCTGTCTTCGCTCCCAGCCCAGTTTACAAATAAAAATGTTGTTGTTGTTGTTGTTGTTTTAATCTGAGAAAGTAAATATGTGAACCAGAATTATTCCAGGAAAATGAAAATGTCAGTAGAGATCCCTGGTGACAAAATTGCCCTGGAGATTCCAGGATTCCCTAGAATATGGTCCCTTTGGAATCTGAGTGGACACAGTGCTAGTTTCTAAACGAAAAGGCAGGGGGGTCTTTGTTTTTGATAGCAAAAGAGAAACACATCCAAGCCATTCTCCAAACCACCCTATTAGAATTAGTCTGATTAATACCGTATTTACACACACAAAACCGGACTTCTTTTTCATCACTGCATTGGCTTCTCTCTGGCCCAGGAGGGACCAGGAGAATACATTCTCTGAGGACCTTCTACACGGCACCGTGTTTCCTTGAGCAGGAAGGCCGGTTCCGGTCACTTGCGTTCGTCGATGGTCTTGATGAATTCCACTGCGGCTGTAAACTGCATCCACCAGTACGATTCTTCCCCAGTTAAAGAGTTGGCATAGAAGTTGCTGATGTACTGGACGGTGGACAAGAGGCAGGGAGGGTTGGCCTGGAGAGAGAATCAGGACAGGCACCATGGCTTAACCAGCGGGGGACATTTCCATCTAGACGTACAACTGTGTCAGGCCTAGCCCAAGGAACTCCAAGAGATAATGCCAGTTCAGTCCAGCTGTGTTTATCTGCTGCGATCTTAACCTCTTCCTGCCTTTAATCCCCCCACC